ATGTTCGGTTATTTGCGTGTGATTGATCATAGAGACTCCGGCAAACCAAAATCTCTCTTTCCCCCTTGATTTCCCTCATCTTCTTGCGTGCTTTACTTGCTTTCGATTTCTATTTCGTAGATTAGCTTAATTTAATTCAAACCCCCAATTTGCGAGTAGAATGTTTAGGACCTTTTTGGTTGTGTGACTTTGACGACTAGATAGTGAACGAAGCTCCGAAGAGCCTTCCTTTGAGAACGACCCGAGTCGGGTACCTCGGTTACCACATGCCCAAAAATACTACAAACACTAAACCCTAGCCTCTCCGTACGGTGCTTATTGTCTTCCTCGTCACAGTCGACGCTCGGGCCAGTGGTCGCCTCGACTGCTCGGCCCGTCCCTGAAGTCGCGAGCTTCAATTTCTCTACAGGTTCTTCGATGGATGTCAGCCCTCGGTTGCTGACGCGGATGTCTTTGCCGTGGTACGCCTTGGGCGTAGTCTGGTGTTTCCTCCCTTTATTGTCGGCGGTTCTCGATTAGAGGGGTTGCTTTTTCCAGTCTGCGATTGGAGTTGGCTCTGCCGTTACAAGTGAAAATTCCGGTGAGGCTGGGGCCTGGATGCCGGCTATCTGTGGTGGGTTAGGTGGTGAGTGCTTCAATGGGCTGGTTGGAACTCAGCCGGCTACGACATCTGGTGGCGTTGGGGTCGTCGGAGTAGTGAACCGAGCAGATTTCTTCCCCCCTTTTCTCTGGTGCTGGGGACGGCGGGGTCTGGAACTCCCGAGCTTCTTATAGAGGTGTTAGAGGAGTTTAGGAAGTGACGTGTGGAGAGATGGCTTGTGTTCTCTTGGTCCATGGTGAATTGATTCGAGACGGGTTCGCGGCTTGAGTTCAGCTTCTGTATAGGCGGTTCTGCAATTTCGGTAGTTGTCCCTCGGGCTCGGGCTCCTTTTGGATTGACTGTTTCTCTGTTGGATTAGGCTCATTTTGGTTGGCTGGGGAAGGGCTTTCTCTATTGATTTCTAGTTTTCTCGTTTTAGTTTTCGTTGTTTGAGTCTGTGTTTTTGTGATTTTTGGTCTTGTTTTTTAGGTTTGGGCCGTTGGCCCCGGTACTGATTCCCCTGTGGGGGGCTTTTCTATTCTCTTGTGGGAAGCATTCGTAGTTGGTGTGTTGTTGTCTTTTAGTTGTGTGTCGTGAGTTTTGTTTTCTAACATGACTAGCGAGGTTCTAGGCGGTCGTTCGTTCCGTCCTCCCAGTTTCTAGTTCCGGGTTGTATTATTCAGCCTTGGGCTGCTTTGTTGCACAGTTGTGCGTTTTGATATATAATATCCCTATCGTTTCGGCAAAAAAAAAAAAGTCTCATTTCTAGTTTGTCGATAAATCAATTAATTAAAGTATGGGCTCCCCCTCAGGTGACATCACTAAAATTATTGTAGGGAATTATCTTGACAAATTTCTAATTAGACGATTAGAGGAAATTTAATGAGAGCGTACGGGCTTCCCCTCGGATGACCTATAATAGATTTTGATGACCTTAAGATCGAGAAATGAGATTCACTTAGAATACGATTAAATTTATTAACCCTCCTCGGGGTCCCTGGATTTTATTGGATAGCTAAACGGAAACCGACTATTAATTTCGTTGTCATTAGTTTGGTTCTGACTTATGGAAATTAATGGGTTCTTGAAAAGCCTCGCTGGCGAATGTTGAGTTTTGTAGGGTTACCCTCGTATCATGCATTACTCACGGTGTTTTGAGATGTCAGTGAATTTAAGTTAATATTATTTTGAGCTCACGGTGTTTTGAGATGTCAGTGAATTTAAGTTAATATTATTTTGAGGATGTCAATATTAATAGTTGAATTAGTAATGTTTAATCTGTAAAATTATTTTAATAGTCGATATTCATCCGGTTTTGCTATGAAGCCAACAGTTGGCTCCATAGTGGAGCCAACCTTCTATATACAACAAATAAATCTACCATATTAATAAAATTACATTAGTGTTATTAAAGTAATAAAAAAAAATATGGTAAGTTTACTTGTTGTATATAGAAGGTTGGCTCCACTATGGAGCCAACTGTTGGCTTCATAGCAAAATCGTATATTCATCATGTCGCTCAATCTGTTATCTGTCATTCTAAAAGAAATTCAGCTTCTGATCCTAATTACATTGATCGGAAGAACTTATACATTGTGTTGACTGCTGAGAGATAAATTTGCTATCACTTATGGCAGAGACTCGTGCTGATAACGTGTTATAAAACTAGAGAGAAAAAGAGATAAAAGAGAAATTATATTCTCTTAGTGCGGTTTTCATTATAACTGAAACTCCTATTTATAGTTAACTTCTTATGACACAATTTGTAATGATGCAAATACATAGAGGGAAAAATAGTCATTCTCATATCTTATTTTATTATCTCATAACCATTATTTTTCAAATCGAACCGGCCCGACGAGTCGACCCGGGAACCAACCGACCCGGAGCCGGATCTGGTCCAGGTAGACTATTTGGATTGGATAACAATGAATCCGGTCGAGAAAATCCCACTTTAGAAGATTTCAAGAAAGAGAAGTTGGGAGTTCTTCCGGCGTGCAATCATGGCGGACGGGACACGGGAGTAGATTTTCCAAAGAAGAAGAAGAAGAAGAAAAGAATGGTTGCTTCGTCTTTTGCGCATTGCATACGGCCCCACAATCAATTTGACCCTTACTTTCCATTCCATTCAAGAAAGATCAAAAAGACAATCAGGAGACCAGAATCATTTCTGGTCTTTCTTCAATAAGTCTGTTAGTACTACTACTTTCTTTTAAGAACCTTCAATAAAAGGCCGATAATAGTTTGCCAAACCCAAGAAAAATCTCAATTTAGTGACCTTAATGGGCGTAGGTCACTCAAGAATAGCCTTTTTCTTTCTAGAAACCTGTTCGCGCCAAATACGATGTCATTCGCCCGTAGAGAGAAGTCCTTCCGCCGACCTGGCCATTGGACGACACCTCCACCCCTGAAGATGGTGGTTCCATTCAAGAAAGATCAAAAAGACAATCAGGAGACCAGAATCATTTCTGGTCTTTCTTCAATAAGTCTGTTAGTACTACTACTTTCTTTTAAGAACCTTCAATAAAAGGCCGATAATAGTTTGCCAAACCCAAGAAAAATCTCAATTTAGTGACCTTAATGGGCGTAGGTCACTCAAGAATAGCCTTTTTCTTTCTAGAAACCTGTTCGCGCCAAATACGATGTCATTCGCCCGTAGAGAGAAGTCCTTCCGCCGACCTGGCCATTGGACGACACCTCCACCCCTGAAGATGGTGGTTCCCCGATGGATGCCGAGGCAACTATGCAAAAAGCTGGAAAAGATCCTAGGAGAACGAAGTGAGTCTCGACCTTTTTTTCTTTCAATTTGCTCAATTCAACTTTTTCAACTTTTTTTACTTTTTTTACAATTACACCGGATGCGCTAACGCACAACGACTTTCGCGCTAGTTGCTCAATCCGTTGCTTGTTCAGTGAAGGATAAGCTGGAGCAGCTACTTTCGAAGTAACAGAAAGAAAAGCAACGACTGGAGTGGGAGAGTGGAGTTGCCTTATAAAGGGCAGAGGCTCCCGGTCAAAACCCGGCCAACCCAGCCTTGACCCGGTCGAACCCGGCCATTGACACAGTCCTTATATAATTTTACTTTTTTAAATATATTTTTATATTAAAAATAAAAACTATGTAAATATATTGATATAGTAAATATTTATTGTGAGATATAATTCTTTTAACACTTTGATGTACAACTTTTATATGCAAAACATTTATTTTTGTTATTTTATGTATGTTTATATGTCAAAAATACTATATATATAATTTAAAAAAATTAAAATTAATTATCTGGTTCAGTAATTGACCCAGTTGAACCGGTGACCCGGTGACCTGCCCAAGTCGATTTCTAAATTATCCGGGCCGGGTTTAAAAACTATGCTCATAATAGTTCCTATTTATTATATTTATTTTGATTCTAATGCATATAAGCTTATATTATTTTCCAAATTTATACCGTATGTGCATCGCACGGGATACGCACTAGTGAAAGATAATCAATATATCGCTTTTTATTTTGTAGACACATAATCAGATCCTTGGCATTTAACAACACATGGGTCTTAAAACTCTGTCTCCATCTCACGTTTGCTCTAACAACTCTGAAACACCAGAACACAACTGAACTCCAATCAGTCGAAGGCCGGGACAATGGCAGGCACAGGAACGACGAAAAGATGTTGTTTTCGTGGGGCGGTGACTCCTTGGGTTTCCATCATCTCCATATCTTGAGGACCCGTTCCTTTAGGCAACCTCCAATCGAAGTGATACAAAAGGAGCGCCAATGGGAGCTCAACGTTTGCCAATCCGAAGTTTATACCGGGGCAAATCCTTCTACCCGACCCAAACGGGATATACTCATAGTCGTTACCCAAGAAATCTATTGAGCTGTTAGCAAACCTTTCGGGTCGGAAGATTTCGGGCTCGGCCCAACACTTGGGATCCCTTCCTACGGACCATGTGTTGACCAGGATTTTGGTTTTTGCAGGAATTGAGTAGCCACCAATCTCGCATTCCTCTCTGGATGCTCTCACGACGAATGGTGCCTGAGGGTGCAGTCTGAATGTTTCCTTGATCACCAGTTTTAAGTACTTTAGTGCCTGCAGATCACTCTCCTCAATCATGTTCTTCCCTATGAAGGCGCTCCGTATTTCTGCTTGTGCTTTCGCCATCACGTCCGGGTTTCTCATAAGCTCCACCATTGCCCAATCAGCAACCGTGGACGATGTTTCGGTTCCAGCAGCAAACATATCCTTACAAAAATTAATACATAAAAAATGCATGGCCAAGAGTTAGCTTACAAAAGACTACCAATAGAGTCGACACATAATGAAGGTTGGATGGGGCACTTACAAAGACGACACCCTTGATATTGTCGTCCGTAATGGGAAAGTTGAGGCCCCCATCCTTTTGCATTCTAAGCAAAACATCCACAATGTCCTCTCCACCAAATTCCCCACTCCTTCCCTTCCTCCTATGCTCCTTCAACATCTCGTCAAGCATCTCGTCAACTTTACGCCTCATCCTCACCAACTTAACCCTGTTCCAGCTCAGGGCATGTAGCAACTTGATCGAGGGGAACAAATCCGCCAGCTCGAACCCGGCTGCCATGGTGACCGCCTTCCTGATCATAGCCACAAGTGCTGCCCGGTCCCTCACACCAACTCCCCCAAACACCACCCTGTACGTAAACGCACTCGTGAACTCGAAGATCCTGTGGGTCAGATCAACGGCTTCTTCTTCTTCTTCTTGTTCTTTCCTCATGAGAGAACTGACCAATCGGTATCCCTCGTCCAGCCGGACATGCTCGAATGACTTGACGTTCTTTGCGCTCAGGAGCTCGGCAGTGCAGATCTTGCGCATCTGCCGCCAGTAGTCCCCGTACGGGCAGAAGAAGATGTCGTTGGCGAAGAAGATATCGCTGCCCATGGTGGAGGGCCGATCGCCAAGGGCCAGGTCGCGGTCCCGGAGGGCCTCCCTTGTGGCGTCCCGGGACGAGATCGCCACCATCGGCATCTCCCCCATGCGCACGTGCACCACCGGCCCGTACTTGAGGGACAGGTGGTGGAGGGCGCGGTGGGGCAGCCCCCGCCCAACGAGGTGGTGGAGGTGGCCGATCAAGGGCAGCCCCGGCGGGCCCGGAGGCAGTTTTTTGTTCGACCCGGGGTTTTTTTTGGATTTGCTAAGCGGTAGTACTACTTTGATTAGGAAGAGGATGAAGGTTGAAATAAGGAGCAGGTTTTTCATATCGATGGGGACCAACTGGGCTGCTATGTCCATGGCTAGCCAGCTATCACAAGAAGATTAGTTACTACTGCCAAATTATATGCTATCTTTTGATATTTTGGGATGTAGCTAGCAACCATTTCAGGACACATATATAATATAGAAACTACACATATAAAATTATGCTGTCCAAAGTAAAATAATGCCCATGCTAATCAAGCACAATTTCAGAACAATAGAAATCTTCAGATCTAGCAACAAATAATTGTTTTTTTTTTTTTTTTTTTTTTTAATGAGTGATTGAAATAATAATAATAAACATTTAATGTAACAGAGTTGACGGACATTTTTTATTTCCTCTTGTTTTGGTGAGTGATTGAAACAATAATAATAATAAACATTTAATGTAGGAGAGTTGACACTAGGAGTTGGCTCAAATGGTAAGCAGTTTGATGTCCCTTAATTAAGGTATCGGGTTCGAGTCCTTGTGGATGCCGGAAACCCTTGTTGGGAGAGTCAACCACCACTGTCAGGTGTTCGACCCGGGTCGACCAACATATTAGTCGAGGCATAACTCCGGATATCGTGGCTGGCTACCAAAAAAAATATTGGCAGAGTTGACGGACATTTTTTTCTACACTATATAATATAGAAACTACACTGTAAGAGTTCTAATCACACTCTGATGAATCCGAGTATATAAAATTATGCTGTCCAAGTAAAAACTGCCCATGCTAATCAGGCGCAATTTAACAACAATAGAAATCTTCAGATCTCGCAACAAATAATTATTTTTTTTTTTTTTTAAAGTGATTGAAATAATAACAAACATTTAATGTAGCAGAGTTGACGGACATTTTTAATTGAAAAATATTTTTTTAATGCCTTCATTACACTTGGTTGTAAACCAAGTTGTAATGGAGGTTGGCTATGTAGCATAACCCTTTTTAATTTCCTCTTGTCTTGGGCGAACAGATCCACTTGGATTGAATCACTAATTAACAATTATTTTATATTTCCAAAACTAGTTTGGTCCCGGCTGGGCACAGCATAGCCAGACTCAAATTCGATTTTATTTATTTGTAACTTAATAATTTTAATTATGATTAATATTTGTAATAATATTTTCAAATAATGTTCTATATAATAAGACATTATTATAAATAAATAGTAACTAAAAAGTACAACGATAAAATAAAACGAAAATTGAAAACTAAAATACACAATTAAAAAAGATAATTCATTTCATATTTCATAGTCCAGATCCCCTTTTCATTTCTCTCACTTGGTCGGCACAAATTCTCCTCTGCAAGGCTCTCTCGTCGGCGTCTTCTCGTCAATTTCAGCCTGATTCGGTCGGTGTGGGAGGGCCGGCGTCTTGACGGGCCTTCTTCGGTGTGGTGCCTCTCCGTCTTCGCGGTGGCCATGGCTGGGGAAGGTGGTTTTCCGACTAGTCGCGGGCTTCTTCTCGCCGTCGGTTCCGAGCTCTGCCTTGGCAGTTGTTTGGGGCCGGAGTCTCACTGCAAGTGCGTGCCTGGATCCATTCAATTTCTGGTGTTGGGATCGGTGGGTCCGTCGATTGGGGCTGCCTTGGTCTCGGTAGGGGAGGGGCGGCGGTCATCGGTGCGTGTGTGGGGTGGCTGGTGGTGAGCAGCCCGAGTTTTCCAACGACAACTATTGTTGGAAGGGTATGTGGTATTGGAGCAGGTACTGGTTAGTCGGCTTTGGTCTGGAGTTTCTTGTTATGTGTTCGGTGCTGCGGCTTTAGTGCCTGGGGTTATCGTTTTGCTAGAGGGGAAGGTTTATTCTAGTATTGTTCATTTTGTTATGTGTGTTTTTTTTTTAGTTTTGTTTTATTGTGTGTAGTGTTTATTCTCCTTTTGGGAGCCTGTTAGTGCGCTGTACGATTAGGCTGCCTTGTGGGTTGTCCTCGGAATTCAGCTGTGTAGCTTCTATATCAAATCGAACCTACAGACCTAAGGAACAACCCTCAATATCGTTCCTTTGAAGTTTTCCGGTTGTTACCGATTCCATTTATGATAGTATGCCGTTTTGAAAAAAGAAATCAAAATACACTACCATAACAACCAACTACCTATTAGTGAAATGAAAATCCAACTACATCATGATGAATAAATAAGTGGCGAAGAGTTTAGCCAAACGAAATTTACCATAGTTCGATGACATATATGAGCATCCGTCGGGATCCGAAAGTGGTGCTTCTCGCGGACTGGCCGTGACTCTGATCGCCGATGATGGTGGTCGGAGTGGAGGCTCCATCTATTTCTCTCTTGTGCCCCTTGTCCCTGGTGTTTGGGTTAAAGAGGTGACTGGCGTCCTCTGTTCCTGGCCGTGGTGTGGGCAGGCTTTGGACGGCGGTGGTGTGGGGGTAGTTGGGCCAGAGTTATCCGAGCTTCAGGGTCGGGATTGGGGCCGTCCACCTGGGTGTTGGGCCGAGTTTTAGGATTGTGGTTTCAATTAGGCGTTATTGGAAGTTTTTGGAGTGGCATCTCGAAGCTAGGTTTGGTTGTTGGGGTGTTCGGCTGCCGTCGGGTGACTTTTGGCGTGTGTACCGGCTGTGGGAAGGGCATGGTTCTAGTTCGTGTAGGCCCTAGTTTGTGTTTTAGTTGTTCTGTTTTATTTGTGTTGTGTTTGTTTTGATTGTGTTTTCGCCTTTTCTCTCCCTTTGAGAGTGTGTTACGTGTATTTTCTTGTTGGGAGTTTTTTTGTTTTATTCTCCTTTTGGATATTTTTGTTGTGTTTGTGTTGTTAGTTGGCTCCACGATGTCGTCTGTCTGTACGTGTAGTCCTCCTTGCTAGAATCAGCTGTCCAGCTTATTCAATCGTTGGCTGCTTTATTCGGCTGAGTAGATGTTCTCTAGTTTTTTTTTTTTTTTTTTTT